GAGGGGGATTACTTTTGGGGGTATAATATGTTCATTATCTTGATTGTGGCGATGGCGTTATGGGTATATACATGCACCAAAACTTAGCAAATTGTAAATTTCATACATATTCAATTCATTGAATCACTTATTGCCCCCAATAAAACTGCATCTTTGTTACCTCAACACAAGGGCTACCTCCCAGCTTTGTCCTGAGAATCAGATGAGTGGAAACCCTTGGAACAGCTCCTGGGTCATTACTGGTAAATTCTCAGAAAGCCTTGTTTCTTGCAGTTGTTACAAACACAATGGCTCAGAAAGAGGGTTTTAAGAAAGCTATTTAATTCCAACTAAGCAGGAAATGTTACCTTCTAGTGGGTAGGAAAATAGTACAGGAATCAAATGCCTTGAAATTAAAGGCAAAATTTCTTACTTAGTTTTCCTGAAATTCTTTAACTTTCTAAAAAAAGAAAATTTTATCTTAAAAAAAACGCAAATAGTAAAAAAAAAAAAAAATCCAACTGATAGCCGAACCAATTCTAATTTCAGATGCTGAATACTGATGCTTGCATGATAACTTCCTAAATTCCCTAAAATTCTTATTTTGCGACGGTTTAAATCTTTGGAGAATCCTGCGACATTTCCCCCAGGAAAACAGCTGTGTGGGAGAGAAAGAACCAAGCGTCTTTCTGGTGCAGAGGATATTACTGTTTCCCATTAATAACTGAGAACTTACATTTCCTGCGACGAGCTCCTTAAACCAATTTCTGCAACCCCACAGAAAACGTCTGCAGGCTAAGATGGTTTTGGCAAAAGGAGCTTGGCGGGATGGATGACGTTCTCTAATTGGTTGAAATGGCTCACCAATGTGCCCTCTGCTCCTTCGGGGATTCGCTGGGGCAGGCTCTCTTCCGGGCTGCTCCCTCAGGATTGGCTAAGGCTGGCTTCCTGCTCTCTCGGGATTGGCTGAAACACATTGCGTGCTGCTCCGGGATTGGTTGAATCAGTGAAGTTCTTCCCGCCTTCTCCCACCTGTCTCTTGTTTCCCATCCTCCTTGCCCTCGCTAGTCGATCCCTGGGAGGGGGATGCTTTTCTTCTGGTTTTGCATTGCTGCCCTTTCCAGGCTCCCCAAGACTCCCCCCGCCTTCCCCGGGAAGTAGGGTCGGCGTCCCTCACAGTTACAGAACCTTTGCGCCGAGATGGGGCTAAATGCAATGAGTGTGGACAAGGAGCTTTATCAAGATGCTGTGGTCGCCAAGGGGAGGGGGGGCCCTGAGAGCGATCCCAGTGGATTCCCTCATGGAATGACCAAAATCTTCTCTCCACCATAAAGATGAGCGAGGGCGAGGGATGCAAACGCAACCGTCCGGAACAGTTTCTGTTCTCCTGTTTTAGGTGGAAGAGGGGGGAAGAAATAAGACATCAGGACAGATGGGCTGTTTCCTTGCCTGACTCAGTTGGCCCCTCCATTCTGGATGGCTGTCTTTCCTCATGGCCCCTGAGATGGCTCTCCCGAAAGGTTTGCTGGCAGCATGACGATACAAATAGTTTTGTGAGTGGTGCTAATCTGGTCCTATGCTTAGGAGCGAAGTCTGAGAAAAATGGCCATGGTTCAGATCTTAACTCCAACATGGACTGGTTTTATGACCTCTGCAGGTGACTTAACCTCAAAAAGCCTCAGTTTTCCCACATATAGAAGACTGCATATAACCCTGCGTGGTAGGGTGGCTGTGAGTTACACGTGGGGAGAGCTTAGGACAGTGTCGTAGGCTGTGATGTGGTGACAAATGACTGGCCCCAGATTCGGCATAGCTCCGCACAACAGGTCTTAATTTCCTATGCCTGTGATGTGTGTGGGTGGGTGGGGGAGTGGCTGCTCTACTCAGTCACTCAGCCTACTGGTCAAGGGGTTTTAGCTGTACCATCTGGCCTGACAGGTTGCTGCAGGAAGGATGGAGAGAGTGCGAAGTCCCGTGGGGTCTGTGTCAGTTCAGGCTGTTGTAACAAATTACTGTGGACTGGTTGGCTTAAACATCAAATATTTATTTCTTCCAGTTCTGGAGGTTGGGCCAGTATGGTTGGATTCTGGTGAGAGCCCTCTTTTGGGCTTAATCAACTGAGCCTCCCAGGGCCCCAAGTGTCTTTCTTTTACCTAGTGGTGTGAGGAGACTGCAGAGCCCAGATTCCCAGGAGTTTGGGGAATTTCTAGTGTGTTCCGCCATGCAACGCTGGAATTGCCAGATCATAGGCATGCGATCTCTTAATTATTCATTAATCATGCAGATTCAAAGCAATGCTAATAAAATATTAATAATCTCATAGTAAGCCAAAATTTAAAATAATACAAATTTATTAAATTGTAAATTTAAATTTACAGGAATTTAGAATAGTAAAGCTAACAATGCTTTGCCTGTGATTCAGGGTAGCGTCCCTCCAGTTGATATTCAGATGTTAATTCCATTCTTTAGATTCCTGTGATTGAACTCTGTCCATAATGTCAACACTGTTCTGTATTGTTTTGTTTGTGGGTTTATCTTTGTTCATTTTTAAAAAAGATTTTATTTATTTATATGAGAGAGAGAAAGATAGCGAGAGAGAGAGCCCAAGTGGGGGCAGGGAGAGGGAGAAGCAGGCTCCCCTCTGAGCAGAGGGCCCAATGTGGCTCGATCCCAGGACCCGGGGATCATGACCTGAGACCAAGGCAGACGCTTAACCGACTGAGCCACTCAGGTGCCCCCGTCTTTCTTCATCTTTAAAAACACATATTTGTTTATATTCTTTAGAGTACACATGCAAATTAAAAAAGAACCCCATCTTATTTTTTTTTAAGATTTTATTTATTTGACAGAGAGAGACATAGGGAGAGCAGGAACACAAGCAGGGGGAGTGGGAGAGGAAGAAGCAGGCTTCCCGCGGAGCAGGGAGCCCGATGTGGGGCTCGATCCCAGGACCCTGGGATCATGACCTGAGCCGAAGGCAGATGCTTAATGACTGAGCCACCCAGGCGCCCGAGAACCCCATCTTATATCTTTGAGAATATTTTGATTCAATACAGAGTAGCTTCCAGAAAGTTTGTATGAATTAGCCTCATACTAGACATGAGGGAAATGAATATTTTTCTCAGTCTGTACCTACCCTGGATACTACTATTATTTTACTCTTTTCAAATTTTATTTTCCAAAAATATCTTTTTAAAAAGTGTTTTTTTTTTTAAATTTTAAGTTATCTCTACACCCAGTATGAGGCTCGAACTCCCCTCCCAAGATCGAGTCGCATCCTCCTCAGACTGAGCCAGACAAAAATATCTTAAACATTGCACGTCTGTTATTTGTCATGAGGGACTTTTTCATATATTTATCTTCCAGTTACATCTTGTCTTATTAATTCCCTTTTCATATCTTTTTTTTAAAAAAGATTTTATTTATTTATTTGACAGAGAGAGACAGCGAGAGAGGGAACACAAGCAGGGGGAGCGGGAGAGGGAGAAGCAGGCTTCCCGCTGAGCGGGGAGCCCGATGCGGTGCTCGATCCCAGGACCCTTAGCGCTTAACGAGGCTTAACGACTGAGCCACAAAGGCTCCCCTCCCTTTTCCATATCTTAAAGGAGTGACGATAGTAATGCTGGTCTTTTCAATGATTTGTAAGAGCTCTTAATAAATTAAGATTATAAAGCCTTTGTTTCTTATGTATAGAGATCTTTTCCTAGATTGTCTTTAAGCTGTTCCAATTTTTAATCTGAAACTGAAATGTGTAACTTTCTAACGTAAGACCAGTTAGTTTTCAGCTTAATGGTTTCTTATCGTGCTGTCCCGTGTTTCCTACCCATTGGTTGTATATTCTAAAATTCACTTATGCTCTAAGAATTTGCTTTTAGGGATGCCTGGGCGGGTCAGGCGGTTAAGCGTCTGCCTTCCCTCTGCCTTTGGCTCAGGTCATGATCCCAGAGTCCCTGGATGGTGTCCTGCATTAGGATCCCTGCTCAGCAAGGAGCCTGCTGCTCCCCCTGCTTGTGCTCTCTGACAAATAAATAAATAAAATCTTAAAAAAAAAAAAAAGAAAGAATTTGCTTTTAAATTTTAAAAATCTTGACTCCAGGTCAAACTTATTCTGATGTGTGAGCTCGGCATTTAACCTTAATTGTATTTGAGCGTGGTCACTGGTTGAGCTAACGATGTATGGCATACTTTTTTCTCCCACCAAACCCAAAGGCCCCTTCATTTGGTACAGAGTTACAGTGTCCTCAGTGCCCTGTGCCCTGGCCCCTCGTGATTCTTTTTTATTTTGTCTTTACGGTAAAACTGTCAGAAGGATGGGCGCCTAACCGTTCAGTATAGTCATCTCTAGGAGAAGGTGCGAGATGCTTTTTTTCTTTTCGTTTCTGTGCGTTTTGACTTAACTTCGATTTTTGTGTATTTTGTCTTAAATTTTTGTCATCCCCGCCTTTATTTCATTTTCATTCACATCTTTTAAAAATTGCTTGGCTGGGCAATTGAATGCAAGGGCTAATTTGGTTAAAACTTTTCCTCTGTATTGCCGAATCTCTGCCTTGTTTGGCGGCTTTGAGGAAGCCCCTCACCACCTGGCAGGAGAGGCTGCGGAGCTGGGGTTGGGGAGACGTGGGGTACTCGGGTGATGTGGGAGCGTGGAGGGGTGGCAGTGGGGTGACGTGGGGGCGGGGTGGGAGTGGGGTGATGTAGGGGCGCGGTGGGGGTGGGAGTCAGGGTGAATTTGGGGAGGGCTAGGGTGGGCTGGGAGTGGGGTGATGCGGGGGTGGGTTGGGGTGATGTGGGGGCGAGGTGGGGTGGGAGTCGGGGTGAAATTGGGGAAGGGCAGAGTGGGGTACTGTGGGGGCGGGGTGGGCGGGTCCGCGTAGGTCCCGCCCCGCACATGGGCGGAGCCTTCCGTGGGGGGTCGTGGCGGGCGTCGCCAGGCCCGCGTCGGGCTCAGTGCGCAGGCGCGCGTCTTTCCGCCGCGGGGCGTTCTGGGGGTTTCGGGCCTATCCCGGCGCGGGTGCGGTTGCGGAGGCGCGGGTGCGGGCGGTGGGCCCGGGAGGTCAGGCCTGTGGTCTGCGCGGGCGGCCCGAGGCTGCAGCGCGGGGCGTGGGGAGGGGGCCGGTAGACCCCGGTCCGCTCAGGTCGCCTCCCCCCGGCGGGGGCCGTGTCCACCCAGAATGGGGGCGCCTCTGGATCCCCTGAATGAACCCGCAAGAAGGCCCGCGTTTTGGGGGGAGGCCGCGCTCGGCGCGGGGTCTCCATCCTCCTAGGTGCGGAAGGGGCCCGACCGCGTCCCGCAGCACTGAGCGCCGGCTGCCACCGGCCGGGGGGTCGCCGAGGTAGGACGGGGACCGGGTGCCGCGATCTGCATGCCGTACATCCATCAGAGCCCGGCGCCGAGGCCCCACACCCGTGACCGAAATGTGTGTGCTCGGCTCGCCCGCGGCGCTGTGAATCCCGGGGCTCCTTAGCGTTTCCCTGGGTCCTTGCAAGATTGGGCGTGTGGGAGCCGCGGGGGCTTCCCCGCCGTGTGCCGCCCCACCGGGCGCGGGGGCCCCCCTGAATCTGCGCTGTCCAGGGCCTGAGAGCACTTTACCGCGGCCAGCCCGCCTTTGTCCTCGGCCCCCTGCTTTGCGTCCCCTGAGAGGGGTCCTGTGTTCCCGGGAGGGCGGATCTGGGGCTCCTGATGAAGGCTCCAGCTGGAGGGAGTTTGTCCTCTAGGCTCTCCGGGAACAAAGCAGCTCTACTCAAGAAGGGCCGGACTTCAGGAACGGGAAACTCACCGGGAGGAACCCTCTGCAGAGCTTCAGAAGAGGCAGAAGAAACGCAGAAAAAGAGCATATGGGGCCCCGAGTGATTTCACCACGTTCAGAAGCTGTGAGTCACTTTGCAGACGGGAGAAGGGAGCCTGGGGCCAAGTGGTGGCAGAGGACAGACTGTGAGAAATGTCACCTCTTTGGCTTTACAGCTGGGAAGTTCTTATTTTCAGCCCCACCCCAAAGGGCACTCTTCCCTCCCGTCATTCTCCACTGATTCTTTCCAGAAGGTGGGCAGCTTTCTAACCGCGACCAGTCACCAGGTCAGGCATCTGGAGATGTGTTCTTGTGTCTTCCTGATCTTACAAAGTGAAGAGTAGTAGTTCGGGGAGGGTTTGCCAGAGTTTTCTGTTTTTGTCTCATTTGGCAGAAGAGGGGAAAAGAACCTGGAGGAGGGAAATGACTTGTCTAGGATCAATAAGAGGCGGGTAGACGCCAGAGTCCCGGACTTCTGGTGTGGTGCAGTCCACACAATAACATCAAAGTAAGTTTCCTCTTAAAAGATCCTTTTGAGAAACACCAGTCGAATTAGAAGAAACAGTTTTTTTTGTGTTGTTTTTTTTTTATATTTTATTTATTTATTTGACAGAGAGAGACACAGCAAGAGAGAGAACACAAGCAGGGGGAGTGGAGTGGGAGAGGGAGAAGCAGGCTCCCCGTGGAGCAATCCCAGGACCCTGGGATCATGACCTGAGCCAAAGGCAGACGCCCAACGACTGAGCCACTCGGGTGCCCCAGGAGAAACAGTTTCTTAAAAGACTTACGTTTAAGGTACCTATCCCTTTTTCCAAAGCTTTGAGGATTCTGGACTCAAGGGGTGAATTTTATTGTTAGTAAATCAGATACACAAAATAGCTTTTAGGGTTTGTTTTCCTTTGCAACATCAGGTTTTTTGTTTTGTTTTTTTAATTAGCTTATTTAGAAAGAGAGAGTGCACTGGTGAGCTGGTGAGTGAGTGGTGGGGGGAGGGGCAGAGAGAGAGGAAGAGAGAGAACCCCAAGCAGCCTCCATGCTCAGCATGGAGCCCCTGGAGGGGCTCTATCCCATGACCCTGAGATCACGACCCTAGCCAAACCCAAGAGTTGGTGCTTCAACCAGCTGAGCTACCCAGGCGCCCTACAAGATCAGTTTTAATGAAGACATTGTAATTCATATTTTGACATGCCAGTATTTGCTTAATAGTTCTGTTTTAAGGGGCACCTGGGTGGCTCAGTTGGTTGGGCATCCGACTCTTGATTTCTGATCAGGTCATGATCTTGGGGTCATGGGACTGAGCCCCTTATCAGTCTCTGCACTCAATGGGGAGTCGGCTTGTCCCTCTTCCTCTGCTCTGCACCCCCTCCCCACGCATGGGCACTCGCACACACCCACACACCCACACACACACTCTCTCTCTCTCTCTCTCTCAAAATCTTCAAAAAAAAAAACAGTTCTGTTTTAAACGTTTCTGTGTTAGTGGGAGGGGGACATAGTTAAAGCAGTAGGAAACATTGCAGGTTTAAGGAGTCACACAGAGTGGGGGCGCCTGGGTGGCTCAGTCATTAAGCGTCTGCCTTCCGCTCAGGTTGATCCCAGAGTCCTGGGATCGAGCCCCGCATCGGGCTCCCTGCTCAGTGGGGAGCCTGCTTCTCCCTCTCCCTCTGCTGCTCCCCCTGCTTGTGTTCTCTGTCAAATAAATAAATAAAATCTTAAAAAAAAAAAAAAAGGTCACGGAGAGATGGATGTTGCCTACCTTCTCTTCTCCAGGATCAGAAGTTAACCAGCTGGTGTGTAGAAGTTTGTACAGGAATTGAGGTGCTGCAGGGCCAGCCAGCTCATTACCCTGTTGCTCTTTCCTTCTCTTATAGGCGTGCCTTCCCAGCTTTTGACATTCTACCAAGAACAACAGAAAATGAACAAATCCCTGGTGAGTTGTTTCTTTATTCCCTATTTCATTTTCCAGCAGATTTTGTCATTTTTCTAAGTGTGCTCATATCTTAAAGTAGAAATAGATAAAAAGCTACTTCTGGGTAAATAAAGACTGGGTGGTACCTGTGTGACCTGTGGTGGTGGCTGTAAGTCATGTGACCCCTTAGTCATCAAAGGTGAGCCACACGTTTGTCTTTGAGCTTCCTGACCTACGCAGGATTTTCAGTGACCACAAAGAGGACCCAGCCAGTTACTCCTGGGACAGAAAGACTTCGTGACTCTGGAGTCTGGGAAAAAATGTCTTTGAAGTTCTTCAGGTAGTGAAGAACCTTATGGTGACCCCCTGGTTGCCTGTAATCATTCTTCACTTGAGGTAGAGATCAGAACTCAGGTTTTATTAGGGACCAAAGTGCTACTGGACTCTGGAGAGCTTTCTGAACATCCACTCTGATCTAGGGACAAAACCCTAAGGCTCTCTGGAGGCATGAGAGAAACGGATGGTTTGTTCTTAACTCCTTAAACAGTTGTACGGCAGATTGTTCAAACTCATAGCCTTTGGCAAATGCTTATGCACTACCCACTCGCTTTTATTTTGATAAAGTATATATAACAAAATTCACCATTTTAACCATTTAATCATAAGTGTACAGCTCGGCATGAATTACATTCACAATGTTGTGTACCCATTCATCCCTATTTTCATAACTTTCTCCTCACTCCAGACAAGTCTGTGTAATTCTTAGCCAGTAACTCCCGGTCCCCCCAGCCACTGGTAACCAAATCCACTTTCTGTGTCTCTGAATTTCCCTATTCTAGGTATTTTATATAAGTGGAATCACACAATCTTTGTCCTTTTGTGTCTGGCTTCTTTCACTTCATATAACGTTTTCAGGGTTCATCCATGTTGTAGCATATATCAGAACTTCCTGTCAGTGCCTGAATAATCTTTCATTGTACGGATGCCTCACCTTTTGTTCATCCATTCATGTGTTAATGGACACTTGGGATTGTTTCCATCTTTTGGCCGTTAGAATAGTGCTGCTATGAACATTCGGGTACAAGTATCTGCTTATCCCTTCGCATTTTAAATCCACTGGATGCATCCTCACTTCCTCGCCACTACTTGCCTAAATACGTCCTGATAAAGCTCGACAGCAAGGTCTCTACAGTGGACTCCCAACAGATGTTTTCCAGACCTTACTTTACTAGAACGTTCAGCTGCATGTGGCAGTTAACCCACTTTGACCTTCAAGAAAGGCCTCTTTCTCTGGTATTTTGTGACATTGTTCTGGCTTTCTTCCTGCTCTGCTTTCTTTGTCTCCCTCATGGCGTCTTCCTCCTCTTTTGCCAATTCTCATGGCTTATCCCCAAATTCCCATCCTTCACTCCCTCCTGTTACTGTGCCAGTCCCTTGTGTTTCATACCCTCTGTGGTGGGGGTACCGAGCGTTACCACAGCCTGGGCTCTTCCCTCATGTCTTGTCCTTCTCTGTGCAGGTGGCTAGAGGCACCTTTGTTTTCCACAGTTCTGAAGTTAAAATGGTCATTTACAGCCTCCCCCGTCTCCCATCTAATCTTGTTCCTCCACCCCCTGTCGGATGATGGGCCACCTGCGGGACACAGTTAAGGGAAGCGCCCGCATGGGATTCACCCTAAAGCCTTCCCTCCCTCAGCCTCATCCTGTGTGTATCTCAGTTTTACTACTTTTAAGATGTCAACGGTTCTTAAACCTGTTCTTCCTCCTGAATTCCTTCTCCCCTTATCAGAGCTTAATTTTCTCTGCCCTGGACTGTTGGAACAGCTACTTGCTTCTTTGTCCCCCAGACTCATCTGTCCTCCTGAGTAATTCGTCTGAAATGCTCTTCGGGGCAGCTGGGTGGCTCAGACGGTTGAGCGTCTGACTCTTGGTTTCAGCTCAGATCATGATCTCATGGGTTGTAGGATCCAGCCCCACATTGGGCTTAGTGCTTGGCGGGGAGTCTGCTTGAGGATTCTCTTCTCCGCCTCACCCCACTCACACACGTGTGCTTTCTCTCTGTTTAAAGTAAATACATAAATCTATTCAGATGATGCCATTGCAATCTGGAGACCACTTGAGTAGCTTCCTACCGCCTGTAGGGGCAAGGCCAAGCTCCTTATGAAACTAAGGCTGTTGAGAGTGGGACCACTTCCTATTTCTCTGTTTTATTAAAACATTTTTTTGAATGTTAATACACTTTACATTTCATTCAACATTGGTTTGTTGGGCATTTGTTCAGTATGCCAGACACTGAACTGTGTGCCATAGACTGAACTCAAAGCGATGCAGAGACCTGGTCCCTTTTTGATGGAATTTACCGTTTGGTGGAGAAGGTGACATTTTACAAGTAAACCTGTAATGTGACCCCAAACCTGACATAGTTCCCTAAACACATGGGGTTACTGCCTGCCTGTGCATTTTGTTCATGTTCCTGCTCTGTGGGCTGACTTTGACCCCTGCTGCATTTCCTTTTCTGAGTCTCTGAGCTAGATTGGGGGTATCTCAGCCAGCAAGCCCTTCTTCTCTTTCTTTGTCCCCCCCGCTAGATTAATTGCCTTTCTCCTGTGTTCCCACAATGCCCCGTGCTGTCCCTGTCACTGTACTCTGTCCATTGTGTGGAAATTACTTGTTTGTATCGACAGTCAGAGCATTAGCCCTTCAAAGTCTAGATGCACATCGTGTTCATCTTTATACTTTCACTTCCTCACCCTGTGCCTCACTCCTAGTAGGTGCTCGACACATATTTGTGGCTGACTAGACAAATGGTAGCCTTTGTCTTATTTGGGAACCAAACTCTTACTGGGTAAACCATCCTACCTGAACACCCAGCAGGGCCATCCGGGAGAAGTGGGGTCTCCTTTCCCTTTTCTGAATGCTGTCTCAGATCATGCAAGGTGGAGTTTTGTTGTTGTTGTGGCTTTGAGAATTTATTTTTTGTTAGAGCAACATTAGGTTTATAGCAAAATTGAGTAGAAGGTACAGAGATTTCTCATGTATCCCTGCCCCCCCCAACCACGGCCTTCCCCATTATCAACATCCCCACCAGAGTGGTGCCTTTGTTATAATTGATGAACCTGCGCTGACTGACACATCAGAATCACCGAGTCCATAGTTTACATTAGGGTTCACTCTTGGCGTTCACTCTATAGGTTTTTGACAAATGTATAACATGGATCCACCATTACAGTATCATACAGAGTACAGTGACTCTTGAACAACATGGGGATTAGGGGTGCCAGTTCCTTGCTCAAAGATTTACATACAACTTTTGACTCCCCAAAACTTAACTACTAGTAGCCTACTACTAACTAGAAGCCTTACAGATAACACAACCAGCCGATTAACACATATTTCGTATGTTGTATTATATACTGTAGTCTTACAATATAAATAAGTTAGAGAAAAAATGTCATGAAGAAAATCAGAAGGAAGAGAAAATATATTTATAGTACTGTATTTATTTAAAAAATCTTGAGGGGTGCCTGGGTGGCTCAGTCGGTTAAGCGGCTGCCTTTGGCTCAGGTCATGATCCCAGGGTCCTGGGATCGAGTCCCGCATCCGGCTCCCTGCTCGGCGGGGAGCCTGCTTCCCCCTCTCCCTCTGCCTGCCTCTCTGCCTACTTGTGCTCTCTCTCTGTCAAATGAATAAATAAAATCTTTAAAAATAAATAAATAAAAAATCTTGAATATAAGTGGACCCACGCAGTTTAAACTCATGTTGTTCAAGGGTCAACTGTGTTTTCACTGTGCTTAGAAATCCTCTGTGCTTTACTACTCATCCCTCCCTTCTCCCTCCCCTTCTCACTGATATTTTTATTCTCTTCATAGTTTTGTTTTTTCCAGAATGTTGCCTAGTTGGGATCATATAGTATGTAGCCTTTTTAGGTAGGCTTTTTTTCACTTAGCTGTATGCATTTAAGATTCCTCCATGTCGGGGCGCCTGGGTGGCTCAGTTGGTTAAGCAACTGCCTTCGGCTCAGGTCATGATCCTGGAGTCCCTGGATTGAGTCCTGCATCGGGCTCCCTGCTCAGCAGGGAGTCTGCTTCGCCCTCTGACCCTCCTCGCTCTCATGTGCTCTCTCTCTCTCATTCTCTCTCAAATAAATAAATAAAATCTTTAAAAAAAAAAAGAAAATATTCCTCCGTGTCATTTCATAGCTTGATAGCTCATTTCATTTTAGCACTGAATAATGTTCCATTGTCTGGTGGACCACAGTTTATCCAGTCACCTACTGAAAGACATCTTGGTTGCTTCCAAGTATTGGCAATTGTAAATAAAGCTGAAATAAACGTCCATGTGCAGGTTTTTGCAGGTTTTTTTTGTGGATATAAGTTTTAAACTTCATTGAGTAAAATACCAAGGAGTGTGATTGCTGGATCACATGGTAAGAATTTGTGTAGTTTTGTAAGAAACCATCAAACTGGCTTCCACACTGGCTGTACCATTCTGCATTCCCACCAGCATTGAATGAGAGTTCCTATTGCTTTGCATCCTGACCAGCATTTGGTGTTATGAGTGTTCTGGATTTGGGGCATTGTAATAAGTGTGTAGTGGTTTTTCATTTTAATTTGCATCTCCCTAATGACACCTTTTTGTATGCTTATTTGCCATCTCTATATCTTTGGTGAGGTGTCCCTTAAGGTCTTGGGTTGTTTTCTCAGTATTGAGGGTTTTTTTTTTAATAAGTTTGTTTATTTTTAGTAGTTTCTACACCATGAGATTAATTAAGAGTCTTGTGTTCTTCTGCCTGAGCCAGCCAGGTACCCCTCTTATTGTTGAGTTTTAAGAGTTCTTTGTATATTTTGGATAATATATGTTTATTGCAGGGGCGCCTGGGTGGCTCAGTCATTAAGCGTCTGCCTTCGGCTCAGGTCATGGTCTCAGGGTCCTGGGATCCAGCCCCGCATCGGGCTCCCTGCTCGGCGGGAAGCCTGCTTCTCCCTCTCCCACTCCCCCTGCTTGTGTTCCCTCTCTAGCTGTGTCTCTCTCTGTCAAATAAATAAATAAAATCTTAAAAAGATATGTTTATTGCAAATATTTTCTCTCATTCTGTGGCTTGCCTTTTCATTCTCTTGACAATGTCTTTCACAGAACAGAAAGTTTTAATTTTAAAGTCCCGCTTATCAGTTCTTTCTTCTGTGGATTGTGCCTTTGGAGTTGTATATAAAAAGTCATCGCCAAACCCAAAATTATCTACATTTTCTTCTGTGTTGTCTTCTGGGAGTTTTATAGCTTTGCATTTTACATGTAGGTCTGTGATACATTCTGAGTTAATTTTTGTGAAGGATGTAAGGTCTGCATCTAGATTAACTTTTTTGCATGTGGATTTCCTAATTATTCCAGCACCATTTGTTGAAAAGACTGTCTTTGCTCCTTTGTCAAAGATCAGCTGACTTGTATTTATAGGGATCGATTTCTGGGATCTCTGTTTTGTTTCATTGATGTGCTTGTCTGTTCTTTCACCAATAGCACATGCCTTAATTACTATAGGTTTATGTAAGACTTAAAGTGAGGAACTGTTGGTCCTCCCACTTTGTTCCTCACTTATATCGATCACTGTGGGTCTTTTGCCTTTGTATAGAAACATTAGAAGCAGTTTGTTGATATTCACAAAATAACTTGCTGGGATTTTGATTAGGATTGATTGAAACTATAGATCAAGTTGGGAAGAACTGACATCTTGACAGTATTGAGTCTTGCTGTCCACAAACATGGAATAACTCTCCATTTATTTTGTTTTTTATTTCTTTCATCAGAGATTTATAATTTTCATCATATATATTTTGTATGTATTTTGTTAGATTTATACCTAAGTATTTCATTTTTTTCTGGGTGAAATGTACATGAAATTATGAGTTTTTTAAACAATTTATTAGAATGAGCGAGAGAGAGCACAAGCAGGGCAGAGGGAGAGTCAGAGGAAGAAGCAGACTCCCCCGCTGAGCAGGGAGCCCAACACGGGACTCGATCCCAGGACCCTGAGATCATGACCTGAGCCGAAGGCAGATGCTTAACTGACTGAGCCACCCCGGCGCCCCCTGCAATTATGTTTTTAATGTCAAATTCCACTTATTCATTGCTGTTATATAGGAAAACAGTTGCTATGTATGAACCTTGTATCCTGGAAACTTGCTATAATCAATAGCTTCACAACTTTTTTTTGTTGATTCTTTTGGATTTTCTACATGGACCATCATGTCATCTACAAACAAAGACAGCTTATTTCTTCCTTCCCTGTCAGTGTAGTTTTTATTTCCTTTTCTTGGGTTACTGCATTAACTAATACTTCCAGTACGAGGGGACATCTTTGCCTTGTTCCTGTTGTTAGTGGTAAAGCTTCTAGTTCTTCACCATTAAGTACGACGTTAGCTGTAAGTTTTTTGTAGATATTCTTTATCAAGTTGAGGACATTTCTCTGTATTCCTAGTTTATTGAGTTTTTTTACTTGTCAAATGCTTTTTCTGCATCTATGGATATGATCATGTGATTTTTCCTCTTCAGCTTGTTGATGTAATGGCTTATCTTAATTGATTTAGAATGGTGAACCAGCCTTGCATATCTGGAAAAATCCTACTTGGTTGTGATGTATAATTCTTCCTACACATTGTTGCTTTCATTTTGCTAATATTTTCTTGAGGATTTTTGCTTCTGTGTTGCTGAGAGATACTGATCTGTAGTTTTCTTTTCTTGGAATGTCTGTCTTATTTTGCAGTTAGGGTAATCATGGCCACATAGAATGAAATAGGAACTGTTCCCTCTGTTTCTATCTTCTAAAGGAGATTGTAGAGAAGTAGTAATAGATTGTAGAGACGTAGTATAATTTCTTCCTTAAGTGTTTGGTAGGATTCACCAGTGAACCCATCTAAGCCTGGTGTTTTCTGTTTTGGAAGATTATTAATTATTGACTCAAGTTCTTTGCTATGTATAGAATTATTTAGATTGTGTATTTCTTCTTGCATGTTTGACAGGTTGTGTCTTTGAACAGATTGGTCCACTTCATCTAGGTTATCAAATTTGTGGACATAGAGTTATTCATCCCTAGGATCTGTAGTAATACGTCCCCTCTTTCATTTTACATACTAGTAATTTGTGTCCTCTCTCTCTTTTTCGTAGAAAGCCTAGTTAGAGGTTTATCAATTTTTTTTGGTAATCTTTTCAAAGAATCAGCTTTTGGTTTCATTGATTTTTTTTTTCCATAATGTTGTGCAACCATCACCACCATCCGTTCCCACAACTCTTTTAATCTTGTAAAACTGAAGCTCTATGCCCATTGAACAGTAACTTTCTTTTTTTTTTTTTTTTTTTAAAGATTTTTATTTATTTGAGAGAGAGAGAGAGAGAGAAACAGTATGAGAGGGGAGAAGGTCAGAGGGAGAAGCAGGCTCCCCGCTGAGCCGGGAGCCCGATGTGGGACTCGATCCCAGGACTCCGGGATCATGACCTGAGCCGAAGGCAGTTGCTTAACCAACTGAGCCACCCAGGCGCCCGAACAGTAACTTTCTATTCCTCCCTTCCCCTTGTCCCTGGCAACCACCATTCTGTTCTCTGTATGATACTGTCTCGTGTAAGTGAGTAGCTTTCCTTTTGTGGCTGGTTTATTTCACTTAACGTGATGTCTTAAAGGTTCATCTGTATTGTAGTATGTGTCAGAACCTCCTTCCTTTTCCTCAAGATGAGTAACACTCTATTGTATGTATATACCACATTCGCTTATCCATCCATCTGTTGATGAGCACTTGGGTTGCTTCCACATTTTAGCTATTGTGAATAATGCTGCTGTAAATACGGGTGTACAAATGTCTTCAAGACCCTGCTTTCAGTTCTTTTGGGTATTTATCCAGAAGTAGAATTACTGGGTATGGTAATTCTGTTTTTCACTCTTTGCAGAACTGCCATGCTCTTCCATTTCACATCCCCACCAGCATTGCACAAGGGATTGATCCAGTTTCTCCACATCTTCTCCAGCATGTGTTGTGTGTGTCTGTGTGTGTGTGTGTTTTATAGGTGCCATCCTAATGGGTGTGAGGCAGTTTCTCATTGTAGTTTTAAGTTGCATTTCCCCAATGATCAGTGATGGTGAGCGTGTTTTCACTTCATGAGTCCAGGATGTGTGTTTGTCGGGATACTTCTCATTACTGACCCAGTCTCCTTACTAGTTACAGTTCTATTCAGATCATCTATTTTCCTCCTGATTTAGTCTTGACTGGGTTTCCAGTTTCTAGAATTTTGTCCTCTTGGTTATCCAGTTTGTTGGCATACGGTTGTTCATAGTACTTTTTTTTTTTAAGATTTATTTATTTATTTGAGAGAGAGAGAATGAGAGAGAGAGAGTACATGAGAGGGGGGAGGGTCAGAGGGAGAAGCAGGCTCCCTTACTGAGCAGGGAGCCCGATGCGGGACTCGATCCCGGGACTCCGGGATCATGACCTGAGCCGAAGGCAGTCGCTCAACGAACTGAGCCACCCAGGCGCCCCATAGTACTTTCTTATAAACCTTTTTATTTCAACAGAAGTGGTATACATGTCCTTATTTTCATTTCTGATTTTAGTAATTTGAGTCTTCTCTCTTTTTCTCCTTAGTCCATTTAGGGAAAAATTTGTCTGTTTTGTTCATCTCTTCAGAAACCAGCTTTTGTTTTCATTTTCATTTTATCTATTTTTCTGTTATATTTCTGCTCTAATTTTATTATTTCCTTCCATCAGCTGGGTTTGGGGTTAATTTCTTCTTTTTCTGGTTCCTTAAGTTGTAAAGTTAGGTTGTTGATTTGAGAACTGTAACAGTGATTGCTTTTGTGTCCTCGCTGGTTCCTTATCATCTTCAGGGTCACGCCTGCCGCCTGCCAAGGGCCCGGGATGCTCCAGCAGAAAGGAAACAGTAGGTTGTCTACATTTAACTTTCAGCCAGGAAAAGAAAAAAGACAAATTAAGCTTATCATTATAAGCTTGTGTGGATTGGTAGGATGTATATATTATGTATTAAGAAATAAATAAATTGGAGGTGCTCAAACTTTATTGCTAAGGTGGCGGTGAACTATTTTGGAGACACTAAAGTACAGGAATAAACCCAAACTTGCTCTGTAACGTATCCCTGGACATCTTTGCAGATCTTTATCTTCTCACAGTCTGACACACTGTTCTTCTGTCACACTTCTGGGTGCTTCTCACAGCTCCTTGGCTTTGCTTATGTAATGGTGCCACATTAACAAAGATCTCCTGCTAAGTGAAGCCAAACCTGACAATACAAAAGAGAACAGTATTTTCTACCATTATTTAATACTCGTTATAAATGACTCTATCATAGCTCTCCTGATACCTTATTACAGGATGTGTTCGTAAATGTGATTTGTCACCTTATTAAGACTTAAGCTCCTGGGGCACCTGGGTGGCTCAGTCAGTTGAGTGTCTGACTTTTGGTTTCAGCTCAGGTCATGATCTCAGGGGCGTGAGATCGAGTCCTGTGTCATGCTCTGCGCTCAGTGGGGAGTCTGCTTCTCTCCCTTGCCCTCTGCCCCTCCCCCCACTCATGTGCTATCTCTGTCTCTCTCTCTCTCTCTCTCAAGTAAATCTTAAAATAAAAAAGACTTAGGTTCCTTAAGGGCAGGAGAAAAACCAGAATTGGTTTAGCTTAATATTCCTGGCAGGTTAAGACAGTTTCAGAAACACAGTAGGAACTTTAGTTTTTTTGTTTGAATTAATTAGTTAATATTGGGTTCTCTGCGTTTTCCCATCATATCACTTTATCCCACAAAGTAAAAACGAAAGAAGGTATAGAATAGGCAACTTACCTACTGTTTTATGGTGACCTCTCAAACATGTTAAGACTTGTTTCCCACATGTGTGTTTCATGTCACCCTGTACTCCTCTCTCTGGCTTGAACAGAAATGTGCTGGTCAGAGGTCCGTGTCATTCAGGGATGTGACTGTGGACTTTACCCGGGATGAGTGGCTACAGCTGACGGGCCCACAGAGGATGCTGTACCGGGATGTGATGCTGGAGAACTACAGCCACCTGGTCTCAGTGGGTGAGGGCTGTTCCCTGTGTCACGTCTCCTCGCATGCATTTCCTTTCTTCCTTTGTAGCCGCCAGAGTTTGTGGGCCCCTGAGGAGTGTTTAATGATACCGTGTGTAGATCTCATGATCTTGTGGGTCAGAGATGTTCCCATCGGGCTCAGAAAGGACGTTGTGTTCTGGCCTCCCTAATGCAAGGTACACACGGGCACCTCTATCATGTGGCTCCTGAAGCTGCACCTTCCTCGTGCTCCAGGGGCCCTGATATCCAAGCAGCTCTGACATGTTTTACCCTGTATCCCACTCACAGGGTGTCACCTCACCAAACCAGAGGTGATCTTCAGGCTGGAGCAAGGAGAAGAGCTGTGGCCATCAGGGGGAGAATTCCCAGACCAGGGTGATCAAGGTGAGTCAGTCATTGTGGAGGAAGGAAGAAGCCCACAGAAATCAGGTCCCAGATGGGTTGGTTCTGAGGTTGGTATGTGTCTCTGTAATTCAGTTTTGGGCCCTCAGACCTTCGGAAGTAGCTGAACAGCGAGCTAGCTGGCCTCCGATCACCCGAATCACCCCGGTCCATCGCTTGTAAATACCAGTGCTGCCCTTTTCTGCCCGATAGCCAATATGGAACCCCTGCCTGCCTGATCTTAGACCTTTGTCTTCAGTTTCTTTCCCCAGTATTCATCTTCCTCCATTTCATGGACTATTTCTTTCTTTCTTTTTTTTTTTTTTAATTTTATTTATTTGACAGAGATCACGAGTAGGCAGGTAGGCAGGCAGGCAGAGGGAGAGGGAGAAGTAGGCTCCCCGCTGAGCATGGAGCCTGATGCGGGGCTTGATCCCAGGACCCTGGGACCATGACCTGAGCAGAAGGCAGACACTCAACCGACTGAGCCACCCAGGCGCCCCTCATGAACTATTTCCTCTTTATTTTTCCCTCAGGCATTCATTCATTCATTCATTCATTCTTCTGCAGATATTCCTACTACATGCTACTCGTGTTCTTGGTGTTGGAGATATGCGGGTGAACCTAACAATACTCCTGAGCTCTTAGAGCTTACAAGCCAGCAGGAGAAGATAGATGTAAACGAAACAATTTACTTATCAAGTACTGACAAGACCCATGAAGAGAACTAAGGCAGTCTCAAAGGAGATAGAGAGTGGGGTATGCTCTTTTCAAAGGTGCTCTGAGAATGTCTTTTTGATGAGGTCCGCATTAGAGCAGGGTTCTGGGGGTTCCAGGCAGAAGGAACAGCCGGGCCATGCCCTAGTGGGAGGTGTTTGTTGAAGTGCTCTGGGACCAGCAGGGGGCCGTGGTGCCAGCAGGGATGCATCTGAGAGGGACGTTGGTAGGGGATGACGTCAGAGGGGTAGCCAGAGCCCAGACGATGTCTTACAGGACAAAGTAGGGGCTTTGATTCTGTTTTAGGTGAGATGGACAACTGTTAATGGATTTTCTCTGGCTACTGTCCAGAGAAAATCAGAGATGGGCCTGAGGGTAGTTGACGAAAGTAGAAGCAGAGACAGTATGCAGGGCTGGCTCCCCCAGAGCATCGCCAGAGTTACCCACTAATATGGCAGATTTTAATTTATTGCTCACCCTTACAGTCTGAGTAGTGCCACGGAGGGAGGTGAACAAAGTCAGGTTATTTATAGGATCTGAGGGCATAGTTTCAGGTATATTTTTAACACAGGAGCTTGATAACCATTTAGTAAGGACCATAATATAATACTTTAGGATGTGTGGACACAACAAGGATTGAAGAGTCTTGGAGAATAAGTTTATTTGTTGGAAAGTTGAACAGTTTGTTTAAAAGGTTTTGGGGGGGCGCCTGGGTGGCTCAGTCATTAAGTGTCTGCCTTTGGCTCAGGTCATGATCCCAGGGTCCTGGGATCGAGCCCCGCATCAGGCTCCCTGCTCAGTGGGGAGTCTGCTTCTCCCTCTCCCTCTGCCTGCCGCTCTGCCTACTTGTGCTTTCTCTCTCTGTCTCTCTGTCAAATAAATAAATAAATTCTTTAAAAAATAAATAAAAGGTTTTGGGGGAGGATTCTGAACAGTAAAATTACTTGCAACCTTCCTTCCCAGGCGAGTTTCCTGGAGTAGTAAAGTCAGTAAAGTCCTATTATGAAGACAGAATACTAGTCAGGTTAACATAGATAGTGGGCTGTGTGGTGTGTGGACGGTTTCAGCTCTCAGCAGACAGAATACTAGTCAGGTTAACGTAGATAGTGGGCTGTGTGGTATGTGGACGATTTCAACTCTTAGCAGACAGAATACTAGTCAGGTTAACGTAGGTAGTGGGCTGTGTGGTGTGTGGACGGTTTCAGCTCTCAGCAGACAGAATACTAGTCAGGTTAATGTAGATAGTGGGCTGTGTGGGTGTGGATGGTTTCCGCTCTCAGTGGAGCAGACATGCTTGCAGTGGTTCAGATGAGAAGTGATGGGGGCTTCGAGTTCTGAGCTGGTGCAAGTGAGGAGGTGGGGCTGCATGTGTAGAGAGGAGGATCTGCCACTGAGTCAGATGTGGCTTGTGAGAGAGGGACGAGGCAAGGGGTTAGGGGGTGGGATGTGTTTACCAACATGGGAGATTGGGGAGGAGCACTTTGGGGGAAGTTTAAAATTTAACATCTGATAATTCTAAAATCTGAAGTCCTTTATATTTTAATTTTATTCTGATAGCCAGTCCCTGCTTTAGTTCTAGGCTTGTTAAACAAGTCAGTCCTCAGAAGCAGTCTTCTGCTGTATTACATTTCACCATTTCTTGACAAGTTCATTTGCTAGTAGGTTCTTTAAGAATTCACGAGAACAATACTTCCCTGCATTCTTGCATATTCAGACTTATTGGTGTGCCATTTTGTCTACATATAAAATTATTGGGATTTACTTTTAGTCTTTAAGGATTTTGTAATTTTTCTCCACTGCTAATTTTAGCACTGAATTCTATTATGGATGTCTGAAATTAGCTTGATTTTTCTCCTCCTCTTAAAAATGACTTACTTCAAGTTCTGGGGATGTGATGCACAGCAAGGTGACTATAGTTAATAGTACAATAAGTACAGTGGAAAGTTGTTGAGAGTAGATGTTGATCATTCTAACCACACACAATTTACCTGGGCTAACTAAGTATGGTGATAGATGTTTTAATTATCTTAATCTTGGTAATCATAGGAAATGTGTTAACATTTTTAAAGTACACTTAATTTTTCTTATTATGACCTTATAGACAAAAGCCAGGAAAACCAAGACAAACATTTGTGGCGAGTTTCACTCATCAACAAAAAATCACTGACTAAGAAGAGAGATAATGTTTTCAGAGAAACACCCTGTCAAGATGACTCACGTGGAAAGAGTTTGAAAAATGTTTCAGAATTAATTATTAGTGATAACAATCATTCAAGTAAGAACTCTAATGAAATTAATGTATGTGGGAAGTTGCTCTCTGATAATAACCAAGGAAATACTCATACTGGAAAGAAATCTGACGAACATGACCAAGATGGGAAATCCCCAAGTCATACTGAGGACCGTACTAAGCAACAGAAAATGCAGACTTTGGGACCACTTTCTGAAGATAATGAAGGTGGAGAAACCTTCCTTAATAAGGCAGCCATCCTTATACCTACGAGGGTTGAAACAGAAGAGAAATCCTGCGATTATAAGAAACAGGGGGGAAGTACCAGTGATGAGTCAGCCCTCGAAGTCCTTCAGGAAACTCACACAAGGAAGAATCACTGTGAGGTCAATGAGTGCCTGAAGTCAACCCTCATAAAACATCAGAAAGTCAATGTGGAATCTAATGAAAATGAGAATAATTTCAGCAAGAAGTCCCATGTCACTCAACCTCCTGAAACTCACACAGGAGAGAAAACCTTTGAATGTAGTCACTGCAGGAAATCTTTTTACCAGGAGTCCCGCCTGACTCAGCACCAGAAGACACACACAAGAGAGAAACCCTGTGGAAGTAATAAATCTGGGAAAACCCTTCAGAAATCACAACCCCTGAACCCTCTGAGATCTCACTCAGGAGAGAAACCCAGTGAATGCAACCAAGTCCCTGTGCAGTCAGCCCTTACTGATCAGCAGAAAACACGGTCAGAAGGGAAGCTTTATGTGTGTAATGAGTGCAAGAAGTCTTTTCGTCATAGCTCAGCCCTCAAAGTCCATCAGAGAATTCATACAGGAGAGAAGCCCTATCAATGCACCGAGTGTGGGAAATCCTTCTATGCAAAATCAAACTTCAATCATCATCAGAGGACTCACACTGGGGAGAAACCATATGAATGTAAGGAATGTGGGAAATCCTTCTGTGTGAAATCGAACTTAACTAAACATCAGAAAACACATACAGGTGAGAAACCTTTCAAATGTAATGAGTGCGGGAAAACTTTCTTACAGAAGTCACAGTTTGCTGACCATCAGAGAACACACACAGGGGAGAGACCCTATGTATGTAATGAGTGTGGGAAGTCCTTCTACTATAAGTCAGCCCTGCATGTACATCAGGGGAAGCATACAGAAGAGAAACCCTATAAATGCACCGATTGTGAGAAATCCTTCTGCTATAAATCAGCCCTAATTATCCATCAAGTGTCTCATACAGGGAAGAAACCCTATGACTGTAATGAATGTGGGAAAACCTTCTGTGTGAAGTCAAACCTCACTAAACATCAGAAAATTCACACTGGTTTGAAACCTTTTGAATGTAATGAGTGTGGCAAAGCCTTCTCTATGAATTCGATCCTAATAGTACATCAGAGAACCCATACGGGGGAGAAACCCTATGGATGCAATGAATGTGAGAAGTCCTTCTATAAGAAATCAGCCCTCACTAAACACCAGAAAACTCACACAGGGGAGAAACCACATGAGTGTAACGAATGTGGGAAGGCCTTCCATATGAAATCCACCCTGATCATACACCAGAGAGCTCACACTGGAGAGAAACCCTTTAAATGTAACGAATGTGAAAAGTCATTCTACGTGAAGTCACTTCTTAATATTCATCAGAGAAATCACACGGGAAAGAAACCCCACGTATGTACTGAATGTGGGAAAGCCTTTTCTATGAAGTCCAATCTCACCGATCATCAGAGGACACATTCAAAAGAGAAACCCTACGAGTGTAACGAATGTCAGAAGACCTTTCGCCATAAGTCAACTTTAACGGTACACCAGAGAACTCACACAGGGGAGAAACCCTATAAATGTAATGAATGTGGGAAATCCTTCTATATGAAGTCAGCCCTCAGTCAACACCAGAGAATACACACTGGGGAAAAACCTTATGAATGTAAAGAATGTGGGAAAACCTTCTTCCAGAAGTCCCACCTCACTAAACATCAGCGCACACACACAGGGGAGAAACCCTATGAATGTAAGGAATGTAAAAAAACCTTCTTCCAGAAATCACACCTCATTGAACACCAGAGAACACACACTGGGGAGAAGCCCCATGAATGTAACAAATGTGGGAAATCTTTCTGTTATAAGTCAGCCTTAACCATACATCAGAGAACTCACACAGAAGAGAAACCATATAAATGCAATGAATGCGAGAAATCTTTCTGTATGAAATCACACCTCACTGTACATCAGAGAACTCACACAGGGAAGAACCCCTTTGAATGTAAGGAATGTGGGAAGACTTTTTATGTGAAGTCAAACCTCATTAATCATCAGAGGACTCACACAGGGGAGAAGCCCTATGAATGTAAGCGATGTGGGAAATCCTTCTGTATGAAATCGACCCTCACAGTTCATCAGCGCACACACACAGGGGAGAAGCCCTATGAATGTAACGAATGTGGGAAGTCCTTCTGCAAGAAGTCGACTCTCACGAAACATCAGGTAATTCACACAAGAGAGATGCCCTAAGGTGCAGCAAACGTGGAAAACCCTCCTGTGTGAAGTCGAGTTTTGTCAACACCAAGAGAATCCATGGGAGAAACCTTGGGACTGTAATAATGTAGAGACCTCCTCTTGTGGAGATTCAGTCTTTAATTGGCATTAGAAGACACACATTGGGTGGGGGTTGGTGGGCTCTCTCTGGAATGGATATTGGGAAGGTTTCTGTGTCATACCTTATGAAATATCAGAGAACTCGCAGGGAGAGAGCCCTGAGAATGTCCTGTATGTTAGTGTCCACCTATGAATCTAATAGGTGTCTCAGAGGAATCAATCACGGGGTTCAAGTCACAAAGAATGCCACAGAAGTATAAAGGCATTTACAGAGTCACAACTTACTGATCATCAGGTAATTGATATTGGAGTGGAACTATATCAATGTTTTACATGCATGAAAGCTTTTGAGGAAAAAAAACTCTGTGTAAGAAAGGAATTAATCTTCAGGGGGAAATCTATCAATTTGGGAAATGTGGATAAGTTTTCTCTAGAAATAATAGAACACTAGAAGTCATGATTTGGATGTGGTACCAGATTTTAAGATGTGGCATAAGATACATCAGATGCTAATGGTGCTCATTGTGGGATTATGAGGCCTTTGGAAGAACACAGTGGTGGCTGTAGCTCACAGCACCAGGCGGCTGAGATGCAGCTGAGTAAGCGAGGCTTTGGTATGTTGTACGCACATACACACGTGTACGTTTGGTTTATGTAGCGGGTGTTGAAATAGGTGTCAGTAAAATATCTCCCCATAGCTTAATAATTATCATGACAGATTTCTCACGCTAAATGCCCCCAGTGTGTTTTCGTATGTTTGTAGTATAGTGTGCGTTATAGGGGACACGTTTGACAAATTTGAAATACTACACCCCAACATGCTGTTAAGTGAGGAACGCAAAGTACACTCCACCTTATAGCATGCTACCTTCTGTGTAAGAGTTGAGAGGAAGTAAGATACACAATTGCTTATTTTTTGCAAAGAGAAATACTAGAAGGATAAACTATGATATAAAAATGAATTCCTATGGAGGCAGGAGTGAACAGGGTGGAATTGGGGATGGAAGCAAGCTTTCTTTGCTTATACCTTTTTATGACATTTTGACTTTAGAACAAATGTAAATTATATATTAAAAAATAGAAAAAGCCTTCTGAAATTGAAAATAGAGAAATCAACTTTATATCAAATTGGTAACCACACAATTCTTACGAGAAACTTCTGAATGCAGAATTATGACTATACATCCTTAATGGGATATGTTTAAGGACAAAGATCTGCAAGAAATAAACACCACTCATTTATTGGTGTTATTTTGGATCTAGTTTATGTATATTGTAAGATAAGGCAAAAGGAAACTTAAAGTTACCAGGAGTCAAACTTCCTAGTTTAAAAGATGACCATACAAATGGAAGAATGTATGTAAAACTCTCCATAATAAGAAATATGAACTGAAAGTATGAATTATTTTTAAAAAGTGTATGTATCTCTGAGCTCTGTCCACCAAGGGCCTAGAAGCAGGGGCAGCCCCCACAGATGAGCAGACTCAGAGCTAGCATTTCCCTCTCGAGGAACCAGGACTCCCTGGAGAAACAGCTGGTTCTAGGTCCAGGCCTGAGGTGTCTTGGGTGAGGCTGGGAGCTCTTTTTTTTGTTGTTCTTAAATATTTTATTTATTTGACACACAGAGACAGCTAGAGAGGGAACACAAGCAGGGGGAGTGAGAGAGGAAGAAGCAGGCTTCCTGCCGAGCAGGGAGCCTGATGCGGGGCTCAATCTCAGGACCCTGGAATCACGACCTAAAAGCTGAAGGCAGCCGCTTAACAACTGAGCCACCCAGGCACCCCAAGCTGGGACCTCTTGTGTCAAAAAGCAAGGGAGTACTCAAAGATTAATGGGGATGTGTCAATGGTCCCAGAAGCTACCCTGCAGGGTTTCTCCCTGGCCAAATTTGAGGTACTTTGACGGTCCAACAGAATGACTGTAACTGACTCTATAACATTTGAATAAACAAAAATCTTTGTCCCCATCAATACAGAGAGAAAGGGGCTTGAGCTTATTTCCAGATTTATAGGTGAATCTTACACAAACTCCTTATTCTGTAATTAGAAGGAAAGTATCTTCACCCTGCCCTTTTAGTAAAAGCAATTGTGAGAGGCTGACTGTTCTAGAAAAGTGTAACCTATAAATGTAGGAATGAAAGAATTTGAAAAATGGCCATTTTGCAACCCCTAGGGCATCTAGGCAAAGATTGTCAATGGATGCCAGGATCACTAGGTGCAAAGGAAACAGGGTATGTGTGCAGGGCCAGAGAACCTCTCACAGATACCTTCCTCACTGGCCCTGGAAAAGATATGCCTTTACAGGGGAACGGTGAAGTGCCCCCTTTCACCAGTGGGGAAACGCACCATCAGCAGTGGTGACATCGTGTAGCTCTTGCTGAGGTGCGGCGTGGGGTCCAACATCGCACTGTGGCAGGCTCTTGCCAGAGTACTTCATAGTACTGTTTAGCTTACAGAAAATACGAGAGAGAACAGCTTCCGTGGAGAAAACAAATCCAGACTGTGGGGGCATCCACCAAGACAATTGGCCTGGTCTCTTCAAAAGTCAGTGTCATTTTAAAAAGAGAAAAGGCCAGGGGGCTCTTTCAATCCAGAGAGAGTAACGAGACCTAACCCGATGCAGTGCGTGATCTTTGATTGGATCCAGAAACCATCCAGCTCAAAAAGACATCCACGCAGGTACTTTGGAGACCTTTGGAGGGATTTAAATGTGGAATGGCATGGATGATGTTAGGGAATTAGAGTACTTCTCTTCAGTGTGGTAATGGTGGTTATGAATGTGAGTTTCTAGAACACCATGCAGAACAGAGGTGAGCTGTCACAGCTGCAGCTGTGAAATGGTTCAGGACAAGAATGTGTGCATAATTAGATGAAGCAGAAAATAGGAAGAAAAAGTTTGAGCAAGTGCTGAGCGTGGTGCTTGGCACATGGGTTCTTACTTAACAGAGTTAACAGAAACTTACTTAACAGAAACTTAACAGAGTTCTGACAAATGTTAAAGGTTTTGGAAAAGCACCTCACCACTTAGCTATTCTCTCTGTTTTTTGGCATATACAGTGATGCCTGTTACTGATCTGCGTGTCAATAAAGAAACCAAACAATGCCTTAAGAAAAGTGTTTGTCTTGGGCTTGGCTGGTTTAACGAACCCTGTTCATCAAGTGTGCAGAGGCTGGGGTGCAGCTGTTGGCAAGCAGTGGTGCTTGTCACGCGGAGACAGCACTCTGTGTAGAAAACCCCTTCTTTCCCACTCCTGGTGGGATTTGCAGGGTGCCTGCTGAGGCTTGGTGGAAGGAGCCCCCATGTGAGGGCAACAGGCTCCAGAGGCTGTGCCCTGAGCCTGGCTCCCCACCTCACCCAGCTTCCTTGAAGCAGGTTGGCACCTGCTGTCCGCCCCTTCCTTGTCAGAGGGCCTCGATGGGGCCTGTGTTTCCTCCTTCGTCAGAGGCTGTTTGGGGCTGGCAGTATGACCAGACACCAAAGTATTCTCGGTGATCTGGGGGGAAGGTTTTGTCATCGATAAAGAATCGGGAACAGAATGGCCTTTGTCCATCTGGATGCCCATTGATGGCATCTTGTGACTTGGGGCTGGTAGTCAGGATGGTGAGCTGAGGGAGGGCAGGGCCAAGGGCAGGGAGCGCACAGAGTGGTGAATTAACCAGCTCCGAAGCTGCTCCATACTGGGAAGACCGAGGTCTTCAATGTCCCTTATAGCTTACGCATGTTGGAGTTGAGATTTTTCGTTACTTGGAGCTACAAGGCACCCTAATGGTGCAGAGGTGTATTTATATATTATAGAGGAGTGTGTGTACCTATACATATATGGGTGTATATATGTAATATTCTGTAATTCAGAAGGGTTAGATACAGGAATTTGGGAGCAAGAATGATTTTAAGAAAATGATTCAGTGACTACTTTCTGCCCTATAAATTTACATGCCATGATGAAATAGTGCTATTTCTTGTTTGAAAGAAATAGAGCACAGGAAATTTTTTTGCAACCCAGTTACATATTCTTTCCGTATGTGAAATGACCTTTAAAAATTGAATCATTCATTGATCTTTTCCCACTTTTTTCTCAACAAGATGTGGCTTAATGCATCTGATTTTTATTTTAATGAGTTACTTGTCCTTACACCATTGAATTAATCTTTTTGTCCCTGACTTGAAATACCATCTTTATCATGGATTAAATGATCATTTGCAGTGGCTTTGCTTTTTGTCTGCTTAGCACTCTTCCCCACATCCTTCCAGAAAGGGATGCTGATTTTACAGAGCTGGCACGTTCCCTGGGGGCCAGTCACAGCACCCACCCTTTGGGCCCAGTTCAGTTGTTCCTGGGATGGACACTTAAGCCAGAGACCAATGAGAGTTGAGAGGAGTTCCTGCCAGGGCTTTTGGTAGATGTGGTGGACCAGCGGTTGGCTGGTTTGGACGGCAGAGCTGCCGGCAGCTTGGTTATCTTGGGTTTTCTCCTATTTGCAGTCAGTCCTGACTCACGGCTTGTAAGTACTCTGATTCTGGGTTTGTTTTCTGCTTTACTGACCTATTTGATAATTGTGCTGAACAAGATCATGTTTTCATTGCTTTTTTTTTTTTTTAAGATTTTATGTATTTGAGAGAGCAAGCACAAGCAGGGGGAAGAGGGAGAGGGAGAAGCAGACTCCCCACTGAGCAGGGACGCAGAACTCGATCCCAGGACCCTGAGATCATGACCTGAGCTGAAGGCAGACGCTTGACCGACTGAGCCACCCAGGCGCCCCTTCATCATTCTTTGTAATGTTTTTTGCACATGTTGAAAAGCATTGTCTCTCTCTGTTCTCTTTTTCAAATCTTTCTTGGCTTTTCCTACATTAGTTCTTCGAGACAGTCTCTGGCATGGACTCACCAGGCTCCTCTCCAAAGCCTTTGGGACTCTGATTTTGTGCTTAGTCTCGACTGCCCACCAAGAGTGGCATACTCTTGACCCAGCTGGCTGGGACCAATCCTCAGTGACCAGAGACGGAGGGACTCACGGACACAGATGTTCACTTTCCTGTGAGTGGGCCATACTTTGTTTCTTGCATATTTTATCATTATTCGTTGAAAACTGGACATCTTAAATATCACAGTGTGGCAACTCTGGAAATCAGATCTCCCCCCCCGCCCCAGGATTTGTGGGGCGTTTTTCGGTGGGTTCTTTTTGTGTGTTTTAAATGGACTTTTCTGTTTCAGTAGGTGTGTAATCTTTGTCATGAGCAGCCACTGAGTTCTTTGTTCCATTAACTCAGGGATTAGGTGTGTTTTGCCAGGTTCTTCTTAAACATCTGGAGCTGAAAAAAGATTTTAAAAAGAGGTGGGGAGAAAAAGAGGAAAAATAACACCCCCCAGTCTCTGCAGACCTTGTGTGCTTAGCCAAGCTGGTTCCCGTTCTGCCCTTTCACGTCCAGTTTCTGTGGAGCCTGGAGGTCCATCCGAGGTGAGAGTGTACAGACTTCTCTAAGCCCGTGTGGGCACAGGTGATTTCCTGGCACACATGGGATCTTCTAGAATCTCATTCCCACACATCTCTCCTTTTTCAACCTCTTCCTTCCCAGGTGTCTCTCTGCCACTCACCTTGACGGCCATTCCTTACCACAGCTGGCTCACAGCCAGTACCTGGGCCTTTATGTGCTTGTGGCACAAGCCATCCAGGAAGCTGTGCAGGCCTGTGACGGATGAGTCCGGGACACAAGGGGAAGCCGTGTAGCCCTCCTCCAGACAGTGGTACAGCAGGCGACACCCCCTCCGCAGCTGTTTGAGAACAAGGTAATTCGCCACCCCACCCCCCCCACCCACCCCCCCCCCAGCCCCGGGACTTGCCTAGACTGCAGGCCGTCAGCACGTGGCAGCTGATCGGAGGAGGGGATGGCAGGCAGGCAGGTTAAAGTCACAGCTCTCTGGCTGCACATGGCCACCCTCAGCACACCTCCCCTGCTGGTTGTGAGTTTTGGACTAGATTCTAGAGTTCGGCAGAGGTTGCCAGCTCACTAGTTGCTCCTACGGGGGCGGGCAGTGCCCCTCCATTTCCCTCCTCTGCTGCACCTTCCCATCAGTGCTGAGCACTTCCCTTTGACAAGTCAGTGTTCTATGCTGTTTTCCTGAACAGCCCTGGTTCCATTTGGTGAAGAAGAATATTTAGAAATCAAGATCGGAGCACATCTTTCTAAAGATAAAAATACTGCATTCTTTTATAAGGAACTTAAAATTTGTAAACTGTGCTAGTATTTTTTGTTAGGTTTGCTGCAGATTCTGCTAGATCAGAGGTTTTGAGTGGGCCGTCCTTACTCTACTTTCTTCCCATGACTTACTCCTAGTTGTGTGTGTACCATGAAGTGTGGGAGGGACACATTCATCACAGTTTAGAAGAAATGACAGTGGTTCATTTCTTGTTGGCTAATTCTGTATCAGCGTCTGATCAGCTGCCAAGAAGGAAGAATGCTTTCTCCCGTACAATTCCAAACTAACAGGTAGTCCAGGGAGGTAGGAGAGCCCCATTCCAGGTTGTTCTCCAGAGGGGTCTCCTTTATCCTGTTGCTTCTCCATCCCCTAGAGAGGAGTCAGCAAGGCACAGCTCATGGGCCACACTTTGCACCTGCCTCTTTTGTACGGCCTGTAAGCTGAGAATGGGCTTTACATTTTTAAGTAGTTTTTTTAAAAGATCAAAATATTTTATAGCATGTGAAATTCTATGAAACTGAAATTTGCATGCCACGCACAAAGGTTTATTGGGACAGGTGTTTTCATACTAGAGGGAGGGCTGAGCGGCCACGGAGCCTGTGCCCACAAAGCCTGAAGTGTTCCTGGCTGGCCCCTCCCAGGGCCCATTGGCCAAGCCTGGCCCTCAAGTGTTACCCTTGCTCTCAGGGTAGGTGGCGGCTCAGCACCACGGTTCTGTCACAGCCAAGGAAGGGGGAAAGTCAGTGAAGAAGGATAGTCCTCTTTCAGAATGACTCAGAAGATGACACGTTACCCCACTCGCACCCCACGGACCTAACCACAGCCTCCTGGCCATGGCTAGCTGAAGCTGGGACGCCAGAGCTGCAGTGGGGTGCCAGCTCAAACTGGACGGAAGGGGGGCTCTAACAGAAGGAAGGGGGGGCACCAGTGCGCCGACCAGTGCGGGCTGCCCCACTCAGCAGGTTCTATCCATGCACATCCTCCCGAGGGGGGAGGGTCATCCCTCTTCCCGGGAAGGACGGCTCAAAGTACAGTGACTGGGGCACCTGCTGGCTCAGTCAGTAAAGCATGTGCCTCTTGATCTCAGGGTTGTGAGTTCAAGCCCCATGTTGGGCCCAGAGCCTACTTAAAAAAAAAATTTTTTTTTTAATTAAAGTACAGAATGACCAACAAATGGAGCAGCTACAACCATTTAACCATTTTACTGGAAGTTGGCTTGGGGTGAAGTTGCCAAAAAGGACACAGACATCATTTAGGTACCTGGGCTGTGAAACTCTGGCTAAAACTGAACAGCATAAAACACTGAGGATTTTTATTTCTCTGGTCCTTTAATTTTTGTGTTTTAATGTTTCTGGAGTCCTGGGGAACAGTGTTCATCATGCCACTCAGTTCAAAACTTTTATTTTCAATACGGGTTTCTGCATGGAAACCATTCTTAACCTGATTCTTCATTCCAAACCCCAATTCCATTCTCTTCCCATTCACACGAGTCAGTGTGTGACTGGAAGCCCATTCCACTGGAGCCTGGGTAGGCATGTGTGTGGGGTGTGTCACGTTAACTGATACAAATATTTAGTTACATGAAAGCTCATTCCATTTTTTGAAATTCTTGTTTTATCAGACGTGCTGTGTGCAGATACGGTCTTTGCTCCTAACTGCTGGAGAGCAAGCACTCCACTGCTTCATCTGCATTTTACTCCCCTCTTCCTGTGACCTGGGCTATCCAGCACATCGTGTTGACAGAACTTCTCTGGGACAGAAAAGCATAAAAAAAGTACTACTGCATAACAAGGCACACACGTGAATTTTAAAAGGTATCTCGGGGTCAGTTTAACACTTCTTTACCGATATTACACGGCACTGTCATTTCTGGCCCTCTCATCAGCGGAAGGGGTACTTCACTGGTTTAACGTGTGTATTTCTAATGACAGATGATTCCAAGCACTGCCCTTTCTTGCTATTTTGCTGGGGATCTTCACGTATTCTAGTTATTGGTCTTTAAACAATTTTGCTCTATAGACTAGATTTTTCTGTACCTTTCCATTTGGCATCACAAAAGCCCCTTTTATAATTTCATTCTTTTTTAATTCGGAAAAAGTTTTAATTCATAATTTTTTTCCCATCCTGTCTTCTTAAGAACCCCAGGATATGGGTATTATGTCTACTGTCTTCTGGTCTCAGTGTTTTGTTTTCACATGCATCTTTTTTTTTCTTCCTGGCATCTCAGGCAAACCACTCCTGTTGTCACACAGCCCACTATCTGGGTCTATGGTTGTGCCCATGCCCTGTTCCGTACCTCTTTTGGAGTTAACTGTTCCTGCTTCATATAACCAATATACTTTTTTTTTAAGGCTGTCTTGTAAGACAGTTTTGAAATCTGGATTTTTATATCCCATTAAGTTTACCAGTTGTGGAGATGTATGGTGTGCTCTTAGTAACTCCTTCTGTATTCGTTTTTTTCCAGCATTAATTTTCGCTTGGGTATCTGCAACTCTAGGACTATATGAGCAGCAGTGTGGCTTCAGTAGACCTATGTATTACAGAAGAGAAAGCCCGCCCCCAGCTAGGAGGAACCCCCTTCCTGATGGATCCTCTCCTCTTGGCACGTTACGTGATCACCGAAAGGATCTCCTCCATCCAGAAACATGTGCCTACTTTACTGTAAGGACTTGGCGGTGGAGTGAGAAGAGACTACTCCAGGCACGTGTGTGTTGTGTGCACCCTCATCTCAGCTGGATGGAGCTGGTGCACCTGCTTTCTGTTTCATGAAGGCACCGTGCTGGGCAAGAATGTGCTTGCGACACTACAGTGGAGAGCAGGAGAGTGTAGGAGACTCCAATCCCAAAGTTCCCCAGCGCCTGCCCCTCTAGTGTCTCTGGCTGCTCACACCTCCCCCAGAGGCCCCCCCACTGCAGTTCCCTAGACCCGCAAACTGCTCTTACTTCTCCAGTAGCCCCAGAGCTGGAATCTGGGAACGAGTCAGGAGACCATGCTAGTTCATCAATTTGGCAGGAATCATGGACTTTACATTCAAGGAAGGGAAAAGCAATTTATCTGTGATGTAGTCATCTCTGTAATGAAAAGAAATTTGTTTTATTTGCAGGCATTCTATAAAGTGGGCAGTTGGCTGTAGTCATGTGGATTACACAGCCTTCCCTGGGGAGCTTAACTGCACAGCACAGCCAGGCACACGGCCGTGGAACAGAGAAGAGGGTGACTCTGGAGTCTCTGAGAGGACAGGGCCCTGGTGTTAACACATCTTCGATTTGACCTATATGACACTGCTTCACTGACTCAAGGACAATAGAAAAAAATTGGGGGAATCTCACATGTCCACCTGCCAGGAAGGGTCTTCCTTCTGCTCAGCCCTTGAAAACCACTCTCAGAGTTCATTATCTGCTCATACTCCAGATCTTATCAGGTTATTGTGTGTAACACACAAGAACTCACGCTCTGCCCCAATTCCACATTTGGTCCTTGCTGCAGGACAGGGAAGCAGACATCTCTCTAGCGCTCTCCCTCATGAACTCAGGCCTGTGTATCTTACAAGCTTGCCAGGAACAGTTAAAAACTTTTCAAATACTGCATTCCATCAAATTTAAGGCAAACTGTTATTTTAAGCGTCTCTAGGGAAGAAAAACAAGTGTCATTAAAGAAGAACATGCCACTGAGCCCACTCAGATGTAGTAAGAAAACACCGACCACTTTGCAACTACGAAGAAATCCCATCACTACGTCATCAGAGACGCAGTTCAGGACCACTTCTGTGCGCCAGGCCCTTTCATGCACAGGCACTCCATGAGAAAGAATGCTGTAAACCATTTATACTTTTTAAATGTTTTACTTAAAATGCATACTGTGTATTTAAGCTATGAGGACAAACTACTGTGGGAAATCTTTGTAGTTATCATTTCAACAAATACACCATGAATATTTTTTCCTACACAAGCTATATGATCTAAAAGACTTTTCATTCCGGTCATGTAGCATACTCACAGTCTGCTAGAAGAATATGGAGGGAAAGTGCTGAGCAACAAAAAATGGGTTCCATGAATGATTCAAATACATGAAAAATACGGCATTTCACCTCAGCGGGCAGGGCTGTTATTCAAATATAGGCTCTCGGGCTGATCACTGGAAAGCAAAGGTCCTTACCTCCACACCATATATTGTGAACCAAGAGTGGAGAGATGATCCATGAATAACATAAATTAACCTAAACAAATTTAATGTCATGCATTGTAAAAAGGAAGGTGTATCTGACATGGTTATCAGGCTCTAAGGGGTCTTAGGTCAATGATGTAACCATTCGAGGAAACATATACATTTAATTGTTTCAAGTTGATTTGTACGGCTCAAACTATTTACATCAAAACTTACAGAAAATAAGACCAACCTCTATCAGTACTTCTAAATAAGTGATTTACCTGAAGTCCACTTCTCAATTGCATAATTCCTACAAAGGTGTCACTTTGTATCTTCAGCTATCCCTAACAGAGCAACCTAAATCAACTGGCTCCAAAGTCAATTTCGCCTCCTACAGAAGCAACAGTCCAGAGGCCGGGAGCTACACGGCTGGTTGGTTCAGTGGCTCCACACCGTCCAGGTCCCAGGTTCTCCCAGTCTTTCTGCTCTGCCATGCTTAAATTCTAATTCAGCATTGAAAGACACAACCAGGCATCACATGCAGTGAAGGCAATGTTCAACAAAAGACTCTACTTCACCCTGCAGGACTCATTTCTTGAATCTTTGAGGGAAACTTTTCCAGAGATAACCTGTCAGATATCTTTGTTTATCTGAATAGAACTGGGTCCTGTGACCATTCTACACCAATTGCTGGCAATGAGAAAGGGATTATCAATATGGTTGAAACTAGTCAGGATTTTCCCCCCATTCCACGAGGAGGAATGGATCCCCAGATCCTGCCAGCAAACAGTAAGGAGTGACCAGGGTCACTCAACAGTGTCTGCCACAAACCCATAGGAAGAATTCTTCATTCATTCAGGAAGGAGTAGAGCACAGTATTTAAAAATACTATCCTATCAAAAATACAGATAATTCCTAAATTACATAGCATATGTGCTCTGCACACTTCTGTAAGCATCCAAATAAAACAGATGGAAAAAAACTGATATAAATGGGAATATCTTAAGTACTTAAATATTTTAAGTAAATATTACCGTATAGAGTACAATGAGTACTACAGGAGCTTCTTACTACTGGGAAAGTCCGGCATTAGCAACTTAAAATTGTCTATGCACTTTTCTATCATATGCGTAGATTTCTAACTCTTGCTGACTCAGATACAGCTGAACATGTTATAAAAACATTGGCTTCTTTACAGAAGGCTTCGTTCATTAACAATGATCAAAGACATTTATAAATGCCGGGCAAGAGTACGAGAAGCAGTGTAATTGAGACCATCAGATGTTAGTTCAGTGACGGTACCAGGGTATCAGGATACTAAGAAGGTGGAGCTATTTAAAATGGACAATCTTACCATGTCTACAAATCATTCTAATGATGATACAATGGCTTTCCAAACATGATTCAAACTGAACATACACTTCCTGTAATGTAGCATCCTAAAAAGCAGACAAACCAAAAACCCCTCAAATGAACGTTAAGTCCTACATTCCCAGGAACCACTCCCGCAAGAGTGTGAGGTTGCTGTGCCGCGGCCTTGACTACCGTCGGCTGGTTTTACAGCTTCTATTTACACAAGTATCTTTATCGTCTGTACTTTTGCTTTCAAGAAGCTTGATACTACATCAGAAACATAACATTTAATATTAATAATTTCCAAAGGAATAGGTTTCCCACCTTCCTTAAAATTGGGAGATTTTTCCCTTGGTATGAATTCCCTGATGTGTAAAACAGTTTGAGTCCACGGTGAAGTGCATACACATTCTAAATACGTATCAATGTTTACTCCTGTAGAGTCTGGTATCCGACAAGTCCTGTGGTCTTGTTACAGTTGTGGTTTCTACCCTGCGAACTTTCAGGCTTCAAGTCTGAGTAACACAAAGGCTTGTGCACAACACCCGTGTGAGTTCTGACGTACGTCAGCAGGCGTCTCCCACTCCCACACTGAAAGGTTCTCTGACCTCAGAGAAGCCTCCCCACATCCAGTACGTTCACATTCCCTCTCCTGTGAATCCTCTGATGGCTATTGAAGGCTGATTTGTGGTAGAATTTTTTCCCACACTCGTTACATTCGTAGGGCTTCTCTCCAGAATGAGTCCTGTAGTGTACTGTGAGGTATGACATCCGGGAGAAGGCTTTCCCACACTCGTTACATTCAAAGGGCTTCTCTCCCGAGTGGATCCGGTGGTGGATGGTGAGGTACGACATCTGAGAGAAGAACTTGCCACACTCATAACACTCGTAGGCTTTCTCCCCCGTGTGTGTCCTCTGGTGTCTGTTAAGGGCTGAATTCTGGCAGAAGGTTTTCCCACACTCATTACATTCATAGGGCTTCTCTCCAGAATGAATTCGATGGTGGATGGTGAGGTACGACATCTGGGAGAAGAACTTCCCACATATGTAACACTCGTAGGGCTTCTCTCCTTTATGTATCCTCCGATGTCGGCAGAGGGCTGAGTTCTGGTAGAAGGTCTTCCCGCACTCGGTGCACTCGTACGGCTTCACTCCCGAGTGAGTCCGGTGGTGGATGGTGAGGTACGAGAGCTGAGAGAAGAGCTTCCCGCACTCGGTGCACTCGTACGGCTTCTCTCCGGTGTGCACTCGCTGGTGTCTCATGAGGGCTGAGTTCAGGTAGAAGGTCTTCCCGCACTCGGTGCACTCGTACGGCTTCTCTCCCGAGTGAGTCCGGTAGTGCACGGTGAGGTACGAGAGCCGCGAGAAGAATTTCCCGCACTCATTACATTCGTACGGCTTCTCCCCGGTGTGCGTCCTCTGATGCGTAGTGAGCGTAGACTTGCGGCAGAAGCACTTCCCACATTCGTTACACTTGTAGAGTTTCACGCCCGTGTGGATCTTCTGATGGTCGTTAAGTGCAGACTTCTGGGAGAAGGTTTTTCCACAGTCGTGACAAACGTAGGGTCTCTCTCCTGAATGTGTTCTCTGGTGTTGTGTGAGGTGCGTCTTCTGGCAGAAGGATTTTCCACAGTAACTACATTCATAGGGCTTCTCTCCTGAGTGAGTTCTCTGATGTTGAATGAGGTGTAACTTCTGGTAGAAGGTTTTTCCACATTCGTTACATTCATAGGGCTTCTCCCCGGTGTGTGTGCGCTGATGGACAGTGAGGGTCCCCTTCTGGCAGAAGGATTTCCCACACTGATTACATTCATAAGGTTTCTCTCCTGTGTGAGTCCTCTGATGGATGATAAACTTTGACTTTTTACAGAAGGATTTCCCACATGCACTGCATTCATAGGGCTTCAATTCCATATGAGACCTCTGGTGTACGCTGAGGTTGGACATTTGCAGAAAGGCTATTTCAGATTCATTCCACTTATAGGGCTTCTCCTCCATGTGATTAACAAAAACCGCATCCTTCTGAAAGGCTTTCTGGCATTCAATATATTCATAGGGTTTCTCCAAAATATGAATGTTCTGATAAATACTTTCTTCATTTAGACTATAACTTCCCCCATTTTGATTAAATTCGTAAGATTCATCTCCTGGATGAGTTTTCTCAAGTTTAACGTGGGGAAGTGGTTTCCCACACGCACTACATTCGTCGGGCTTCATTCTTGCATAGCTGCCATCACTACTAATATACTCTGAAATAGATTTCAAACTCTTTTCACATGAGTCACACTTATAGGACATTTTTCTTGAAGGAACGGGGTTCGTTTCCACATTAAAAGTCTTACCAAGAACATTACCTCTCTCTTCAATCAGGGTTTTGTTGCTGATGGATACAGCTTGCCTTGAATATTTGCCTTCATTTTCCTGGACTCTTTCTCCCAGATCATTGGCTTTCCAGAGTTCTTCTAAAAAGAGGCAAAATTAACAAAATTTTGTATATCTTCCTACGTAAGACATGGAAGGTGACTCGTATGTAAGCGTTTCCTTTTAGTGTAGATGCTAGCTCCATGGACAGATGAAAATAATTCCCAGTGTACTTCTTTCCCCTATTGTTATGGTTTGGAATAAACACATGCACACACGTGCACAGAGACACAGAGACACACACACACACACACACACACACACACACACACACACACACACACACACACCTCTGAGGTGAGGAAAGGGGAAAAAACACAAGCACCTCTGATCTTTGCTACTTTATAAGATTTTGCCCAAACTGGGCATAGATAGTAAGATATACACACGGAGCAGAGACGGGAAGACAGAGGACGGTGGATGAACAGCTGACAGGCAGATATGGAAGGACTCACGGCAAACGGGGTGCATGAAGGGCAACACGGAGCAGTGCGGGGCGGAGTGGTGCACAGGTATCCCGGAGGATCAGGTGTGGGGGAGGGGACCAGCACTCTGCGCCACACCACTGCAGAGCGAGTTGGGAGAGGTGACTATAGTCTCAGGCGGCACCATCACCTTTTACTGAGATTTTTGTGGCAACATTCTCACGGTCCTGGATCCTTCCGAACTATTTTGCCCAGATTCCGCACAGCAGGGCCAAATCCACTCACACCCAAACCTCCTCATGTTTAGAGCAGCAGCTGTGTGGCCAGGGCTCTAACTCCCTGTGGTTCTGTGTCACATGGGAGGAGAGCCCCAGGAACTCTGTAGTGCATC